TAATTGCGCATTTAAAGCCACCTGCCATTACCACAAAGAGTCGACTGCATGACGCGCTCCTAAGGGCTTCATCAGATTTTGGCACCATGCCCTTAACGTTTTCGCCGTTGACTGTGCAAGAATTGCCCAGATTGTAGTTATGGAAGGAAGGTGACGGGTAGCTTTAAATGGGTGTGGCGTAAAAATAGGGATAGAAGGCTTCACTGTCACTGTCAAGAAGGATCTCCGCCCATTTCAGTGGCGCACTTCATTCGCTTACGAGAAGCTTTTTGTTGACAGGTCCTGCCTGTCTATGGGAACTTCATGCAATGTGACATCTGTGTTTTCGTTCGTAAACTTACGCCCATTGTGAGAGTTACCGTAATTCGATCATGAATATCTTCCTTGAAGTTTCAAAAGCTCCTCATTCTTTCTTGTGCAGTTCCACGAATTTATTCGCACTTTCGAGGTTTTTTCTACAGAGTGCTAATGCAAATTTCTTTGTAGTTCTTGTTAAGTGTAGCTATAATTTTGACAAAGCTTCAAAGCTTTGAAAGAGAAAACCTCGACCATACCTCCTGCGTTTCTATTGATCCTTGTGCCGAGGAAGATTTTGAGGTGCAATGGTTATGGCGGCCTTCATCCAAACCTATCCGTCATTGCCAGATGGGCTTTAAGATTGCTATGGTTTTATGAATTGTGCTCTTCCATACAAAACCTAGCTGTTCTATTTGGAATGCTGAATCCAAATTAGAGGCTCATTCGGATGCAGTTCGTTTTATGATTTTTGAGTGAGGATATGGTCTTCACAAAACTTTTTGGGTGCAAATATGTCCATTAAAAGCACAATGTCACCAGAAGTGGGTGGACGATTTTACTCACTCGGTCTGTAGGATAGACCTCTAGAGAACAGCTGCTCTCCCGTGCATGAAATTGGCACGACAAGGGCGCTATAGGCTTGCAAAAATAGGCTTGCAAAGACAGCTTCAACAGCTTCAATTTTGCCTATGCATAGGCTTCTGT